GTTGGAGGAGCTCAGGTCAGAAGAATTTCTACATTGCAGCTGCTGTGAATATCACAATAAAGCCTTTGAATCTATGAAATTGAAATAGCTGAAGAGCCTTTGAAGGAGGTGTGGACTCAGTTACTGACTTCAGATTGGACTTCTCAAACAAAGGAGACTTGCAACTCGACCTATACGCCAGTAGATCGTACCTTAAAAGTATTTCATACCGTCCCCCGAAACCGAAGATTAGAATCTAGGACGGTTCAAAGTTAGCCATAAATCAAATCAATTCCTGGAACAACAAGCGACTACTGTCTACTTCGACAGCATTCAATCAAGTTGAAGTGAACCAGGTAGAACATTCACCAGCTACCCTGCAGTATACAAAGTCATTCAAACTAGCTGCACCGTCACCAGCTTTGAGAACACTTTCATGATCAATCATTATAAAACATATCATATATATTATTCTGAAATGGACCAATCTGCACAATGACTACATTTACTGTCGCTACTTTCACTATATTTTGATGATAATACTTTTCTACTTTTACTTGAGGAACATTTTGAATGCAGGACTTTTACTGTAACAGAGTATTCCTACAACTCTGAGTACTTCTACTTTTACTCAAGTACAAGATCTGAGTACTTCTACTTTTACTCAAGTACAAGATCTGAGTACTTCTACTTTTACTCAAGTACAAGATCTGAAGTACTCAGATCTTCTACTTTTACTCAAGTACAAGATCTGAGTACTTCTACTTTTACTCAAGTACAAGATCTGAGTACTTCTACTTTTACTCAAGTACAAGATCTGAGTACTTCTACTTTTACTCAAGTACAAGATATGAGTACTTCTACTTTTACTCAAGTACAAGATCTGAGTACTTCTACTTTTACTCAAGTACAAGATCTGAGTACTTCTACTTTTACTCAAGTACAAGATCTGAGTACTTCTACTTTTACTCAAGTACAAGATCTGAGTACTTCTACTTTTACTCAAGTACAAGATCTGAGTACTTCTACTTTTACTCAAGTACAAGATCTGAGTACTTCTACTTTTACTCAAGTACAAGATCTGAGTACTTCTACTTGTACTCAAGTATAAGATCTGAGTACTTCTACTTTTACTCAAGTACAAGATCTGAGTACTTCTACTTTTACTCAAGTACAAGATCTGAGTACTTCTACTTTTACTCAAGTACAAGATCTGAGTACTTCTACTTTTACTCAAGTACAAGATCTGAGTACTTCTACTTTTACTCAAGTACAAGATCTGAGTACTTCTACTTTTACTCAAGTACAAGATCTGAGTACTTCTACTTTTACTCAAGTACAAGATCTGAGTACTTCTACTTTTACTCAAGTACAAGATCTGAGTACTTCTACTTTTACTCAAGTTCATGATCTAAGTACTTCTACTTGTACTCAAGTATAAGATCTGAGTACTTCTACTTTTATTAAAGTACAAAATCTGAGTACTTCTACTTTTACTCAAGTACAAGATCTGAGTACTTCTACTTTTACTCAAGTACAAGATCTGAGTAATTCTACTTTTACTCAAGTACAAGATCTGAGTACTTCTACTTTTACTCAAGTACAAGATCCGAGTACTTCTACTTTTACTCAAGTATAAGATCAGAGTACTTCTCCCACCTCTGTATGTCGGCGTTGTTGAAAATGAAAAACACTGAAGCTGTTGCAGGTTTCCAGACTGAAGGGGGGTTTAAAGTTTGCAGGAGAAGGTGGTTCTGTCAGGCCTTTTGTAAACACTTCCCTTTTAGCCCTTAAAGAGGCCCTATTATACTTAATTGGGTTTTCTCTTTCCTGTAGTGTGTTCTGTATGTTTTAGTGCATGTTAATGGTCTGCAGAGGCTAAAATCCCTGTGTTCAGGTGGAGTTTATCGCCCACACACGATTCTGAAATGGGCCACGCTACATAATAAGTACTTTTACTTGTTTGTAATTTAGGTATATTTTGATGCTCACGTTGGTATTTTCACTTGAGTACGACTTGAAATGCAGGACTTTCCATAGAGTATTTTTACACTGAAGCAATGCCTCTTTTACTTAGAGAAAGTATCTTCTTCCACGGCTGTTAGTCCATACTTTAAACGCAGCAGCACCTTTGCAGTAAGACATGGTTTTAATCACCAGCTGCAGCTTTGTAACACGCTTTTAAACTGTCTACTGTAATGCTTAACGTCAAGTCAGACTCCTTCAGATCCTCATCAGCCTGTGCATCAACGAGGTGAAACACTAATCATTAACTTCACGGCGGCATAAAGAGCAGCGTCGACTCCTTCCTTGTTCAATGTGACCTACGGGATATTATGCAACTTGTTCTGTCACTTCTGCAATGGGTGGGTCTGATAGTAAGCAAAGAATCGGCTTTTGAGGGTTTCCACAAACAACAATTGATCAGACCGAGACTTCTCCTAAATTGGGGAATTTACTGGTAATAAGATTTTTGTCAGAAGAAATCATGTTGGTTTCCCAAATTGTACTGGTGGAGATAACACTGAATCAAAAACAGACAGAGGTTTCTTTCTTACATTTAGCAGTTAAAATGTAATTTAATTATATCTTTCACTCAAAAAGCACAAAACTGCCATTTAGGAATGTATAGCTCCATGGTTAATTAAAGAGATCATATGCTGTCTGTACTTTAAAGAGTCCTCTCCTGCTGATGTTCAGGTGTATATCAGTATGTAGTGTCTCTACTTTAAAGAGTCCTCTCCTGCTGATGTTCAGGTGTATATCAGTATGTAGTGTCTCTACTTTAAAGAGTCCTCTCCTGCTGATGTTCAGGTGTATATCAGTATGTAGTGTCTCTACTTTAAAGAGTCCTCTCCTGCTGATGTTCAGGTGTATATCAGTATGTAGTGTCTCTACTTTAAAGAGTCCTCTCCTGATGATGTTCAGGTGTATATCAGTATGTAGTGTCTCTACCTTAAAGAGTCCTCTCCTGATGATGTCCAGGTTTATATCAGTATGTAGTGTCTCTACTTTATAGTCTATCATGTGTTGGAGCGCCCAATTTACAATGGTATAAAACTGAGAAAAGTGTACATTTTTCATGAAAACATAAAATAAAGGGTAGTCTCAGGACCGGAATCAGAGGACATTTTAAATATAAACAAAGATTTAATCTCTCATCATCCCACCCACTCGACTCTCTCATTCATGTTTTCTCTCCCTCACAGTGTGAATGGACCTACTTCATAAGTGAGAGGCTCCATACAGAGCGGCAGAGCGGAGAGCTGGTGGCGGCCTCATGGGAGGAGGTGGCCGGGCTGCGGAGCCAGGAGGCGGGGGAGGGCTGCTGCCAGGCCCGGGTCCTCCCCCCTCTGCTGCGGGGACATCGCTGCTGCTGCTGGGCACGGTGGATGGGGAGCCTGCAGGTGAGGGGGAGGAAATGATGGAGTGGGGGGGCACAAACACCACATGCTGTCAGCGGGTCACTTGAGTTTACCACAGCCCAAACACGGTGAGACACTACATCAATACATCCGGTTTCTCCAGACATATCTCATCATATTGACGGGGGAAATGAGAGCTATTGTTGCAGACATGAGCTGTAAACAACACCCCCCCCCTCCCATCTCCCATGCGTCTTGGATGTGTGCTTCCTTATCGCTGAAAGCAATGTGTTCAACCCAGTCTATGGTTCAACCCAGCATTACGCACTGTTTGGCGCAAATTTTGCAAAAACAGACAATCCTCCTGCTCCTTCCCCGCTGCTACTGACACATTTCTGTGTACACCGCGACCCCCGCATTGACGCCCTCCAGGTGCCCGCATCGCCCAATGAGATCCAGCAGAACGACCCTCATCCATGAAGCTGCAGCATGGAGCAGGTTGCATCTGTAGGTTACGTAAGGTGACTGTGTGTCCATGTGAGATTAACGCTCCAAACGGTGCAGGATGCCGCTGTTTCTGCTGCGGTTTATTATGATTATCTGCGAGACTGTGTGTGTGAGAGAGAGAGAGTGTGTGTCGCCTGCTGTAAATCAAATCGCGCTAACAAAAGATGCCCTGTGATAAATATGATTTCCACGCTGCCATTCCCCTTCATCGTTAAGAGTAATTCCGCAATTGAGAAAAAACAAAGCGAGAGGAGGGAAGAGGAGAGAAAAACTCACCCCTTCTTTGTGGTTTATTGTCCTGTCAAGCGGGCCTCTGCGCCATCGATTCTCACTCAGCGGTCCTTTCAGATGCTAAAGGAGGAGAGGGGGAGGTGGGGGGGTGTAGGAGGAGGAAGAGGAGGAGGGGGGTACCAGGGTGGGTGTGAGAAACAGACTGGGAGAGCCGATCATAACACAAAAGGTGGTAAAAAAAAAAAAAAATAGTACCGTGAGGAGGCTATGCATGAGAGGAGGCTGGCCGAGGAGGGAGCTCCTTAGGCGGCAGAGAGTCTTCAAATGTCCCGCTCTTCAGTGTGGAGCTCTTTCATCCAGATGTTTTTTAGGTGCGTTCTATTGATTTGTTTCTGTTGTGCCCTCGAGGCAACTGTAAATAGTTTCTGAGGCAGACTTGTTGAAATCAATATTTAGAGACGAGCCAATGGGCCACTGTGTTTGTGCCAGAAGGAGGAAGACTGCAAGCACATGTATCGGCTATAACACTTAAGGGGAAGAAATAAGGAAAACACACCTAAAATAAAGACGTTAAATAAATAAACAATTGTAAAAAATTGAAATGCAAAGAAGAAGAAACAGAAAGTAAACAAACTAATGAAGGTTTTTAAAATCGAAATTGTATTTGTAACGTAATTGACATCCTTATGGGCATTTTCATTCAACATCAAACTGTTTAAGATAAAACTAAAATAAAGAAGGTGGTGAGAAATGAGGAATGGAAGTACAAAGAGAGCAGAAGTTGAACAAATGAAACCAACTCATAAAACAAAACGTTATTTTATTGTAATCCCTTAATCTATTTAGAAAGCCCAGAAAACGGAATATTTTCTCAATATCAAAAAAATGAATATGGGGTCAATAACCCAGTTGGAAGAATTGAGCGGAAAATGACAAGCTGTACTTTATTTTAGAGCGATTTGTTGCCATTAAAAGCACATTTCACATTTTGAACATTGTGCTTGGAAAAAAGAAAAGTTAAGCCACTAAAGAATCTCTAGAGAGAAATATCATTCCAGGAAACCAAACCCGCTTACCAGACAGTTATAACAAATACTTATAATCAAATAGCACTTTTCTACAAGCTATTCAAGAGATAAACAGAAACGTGGAGAGAAATCAGGAATATAGAAAAAGACAATATAGGAGGATAGAAGGAATACATTGGGCCCAATAAGAAAAAGATACACTTTCATTATTTAAACGAAATCTTTATTAATAAGGCAAACATTAAAATACAAAATTCACCTCCGGATTCATGAGAAAAAAACCTTTTAAAAAACGTTGTTAAAAACTTGTGAAAACACGTCACTTGAACAGCAGTTACAGAACAGAGGCGTCACTTGGCCGCCTGCTGGGCCTGGCGACGCAGCAGCACGTAGATCTTCTCCTTGATCCAGTCCTTGTTGTACGGCTGGTACGTCTGCGTGTCCGTGCGGTACCTGCACACAGAATATCATATTTAATCTATCTGAATAACAAAACTGTATTGAAAGCAGGGGGAAATCTGTTTTGTGATCCATAGAAGGTCAAAAGTATGAATGAAGCAATTAAGAGTTTTTTTTTTCATTATAAATACACAAAAGGTTAAAATACAAGTATTTCAGTTCCAATATCCTAAACCCTTAACCTGTTCATGACTTTAAAATATAATCAGTGGCCTCTGGGTTGAATTACAGTAATATTGATGATGTCACCCGTTTGTTAAACTTACACCAAACAGCTGAGGTCGGCGAGGTCATCGATGAAGTCGAACAGCTGGCTGATGTCGTACGTTATCGACGGGCTGTTGGGGTTCATCCTCTTTAAATGCTCCTCGTACATCTTACACACACCTGAGATACAAGAGATTACACATCAATGTTAAACATCAGCATTTCAAAAGAAGAATGGATTACTTAACTGGATACTGTTTTGATCCCCCGGGGGGGTCGCCAGATGATTCAAAATTACATTTTAAAATAAAAATATTTTTTTATTATCATCATCAGTGTTTCCCACATCATTTGATTCTATTTGTAGGGATCAGAATCAAGATAACGGCGTGGTGTTGTTGCAGGAAGTCCCGACGGAGAATACTTTTGCTGTAGTACATCTCTATATACATCGATACAACATTACGTGTTGATAGAAATCAACACGTAATGAAATAAGACCCCACGGTTTGATGATTGATAGGTGTGTGGGCTGTCTTTCATTTTGACACACAGAACAATGGGGGCTATCCACCCTTATCCACAATGTAAAGTCATTCACACAGCCTCTCCCCCTCTTCTCTCTGTGAGGAGCAGCAGGTTCAGCTTTCAGAACAAAGTAACAAAAAACTAAAATGGCATTCATTTTTTTAAAATATGTCGTGTAGTAATAGATTTATTTAGTTTTCTTCTCAAGAGAGCACCAGAATGTGTATTTTATGTTAGTATTTCCAAAAATCTCTTTCACCTGTGGGTAAATTGCAGGATTGGCTCCAGGTCGCCCTTTTTTATTTACTACAAGACAAATGTGCCTTTTTATTTCATACAGTTCAATTTGGATTGAGACAGGGAAATAATCTAAACCTCG